CTGCCTCCAAAAGAGCTGACTCACTGAGTTGTGATTGGCTGAAATGTTGCACCGAGTCCTTTCACATTCAACATTGACTTTTAACTGTTATTTCACTGCAGCAAGAATTGAAATTGAAGTCTCTCACTTGGTCTTCTGATGAGAGGATAAAATAATGCCTAGCACCAAGGGCTCCATGTTGCAAGCTAGTAACACTACACCAACGCCGTGACTTATGTGCCGCTTCTCAGAGACTGGTGCTGCCCCCACATGACCAAGATAAGGAGATATAAACAAGGCATTTTATGGTGCAGTGGAAACACAACCACGCTGAGTCGGGAGCAGCTCAGCCGCGCATGCCCCAGCTCGACTGACCCATACTTATGGAAAAACACCACAGATGTCCTACAGCAGGGCAGCGGCCCTCAAGGACCAGAACTGCCCACCCCGTCCCAAGGTGTCACTTCACCTAAAGTGCAGAAACATGGTATTAGCCTGAACATAAGAGGACCTCCATCAGAAACTCCTCTGAGCTAAACTGGGCTTCTTTTCTCATTTAAAATTGAAAATTGCTCACAGCAAGGTCTGTGGGTTGTCTAGAGAATAAAGGGCACAGTTTCTGGGAAGAGATGCTGATTTTGAACCTTTTAAACGCCAACTGTCAATGCTGTGAGCACCAAAAACAAAAACCAACACCGTTGTAACAGAGTGGAGGCAGAAGGCTAAAAACCAGAACTGCTGCATACGAGCCTCAGAGCTAAGCCAGTGTTTTATCTCCAAGGCCAACTGAGAAGTTCTCAGTAAACTGTGCTATGGATGCAGCTTCTTTGCTACTTGTGCTCTTCTGGCATTGAGTGAGGACATGATTAGAGTAAAAGCAGCGGTTATAGTAATTCCTGTGTTCATCCCCGGGTGGTGTTTATCCATTTCCCCAGCCTGGATCAGCACTATTGCTTCGGTCTGGCTCTTCCTATAACAAAGCCCTAGGGTCCACTGTACAAGACATTAAAAAGAGTTAAACTATAGTGTGTCCCCCTCAGAGAAAAAAATGCTCACTGCACTTTGATTAGTAGAGGATATCACAGCCGATTAGTGATGCTGCTTGGTTTATTTATTCTTGCCGTTCAGTCCGGTGGACAATTAATTGGCCTGGAAGTGGGATACAGCAAATTGCGCAGGCTGATTAATTGAATGTCATAGTTTCCTTATTGTAGAAAAGTAACCACAAAACAGGGAAAGAAGCAAAAAATAGAAAGCGGACATTCAGTACTGTTGCTAATTTTCATCCTTTGTTTCTATATTCAACACATTTTTAACTGTACACAGACTATCTTTCACAACATAAGGAACTAATTCAGGAGGCCTGTTGTGGAGTGTTGATTAAACATGCCATATACATTATGTTTTCCAGCAATTAGAGCTAATACTATTTCTGATATTGTCAGAGTTTGTGTTTCTCTGTACTATAAACAATATTATCCCATGCTCTCTGTATCGCTCTCTCCTTTTAGTCAGACAGGATGTTTCGAGCAGGAAGAAACCAGGTCTGATCCAGAAAGTGATAAAAATCAACCATTGCCTTTGCTTCAAGTGTGTGTGTGTGTGTGTGTGTATGAACCAGTCTGTATCCAAGCCTTCACTCTAAAATTTGCTAAAATGTTTGAAACTGTAAATACTTGCATTCCATAAGATAAAGAAATTAATAACTTTGCAGAGGAAAGCATTTTGAAATAAAAAAAAATAAAGAACAAATAGCCTGCATCAAATACTGTTATTGTAAAGAGGTAGAAGATTTTTAAATTATACTTTTTAATTTATATATTTTTATATTCAAATCAATATTTATTTTACATTTAAAATAATGGATTTCCACCCAAGACCAAGAGAAGCAGAATATCCTCACAACTGGGAGGCTAGAGCTACAGGTGTTTGGTATTTTGCTTGAATAATTACTTATGTACAAAACAGTTGCAAACTGATCGATTCTATTTCAATTAACTGACCGAATGTTTCGGCTTGAGAGCATCAGTGCAGCCACGCTTTAGGGGACTGTGAACACACTACACAAGGACAAGCAGGCAAAAGTAAGATTTTTATGGAGAGGGTGGGGGTCAGGACATACTGGAGGGCGGGTTTGGGTTAGAGGAGGGGGGACGTTTTTAAGGTCTCAGCCAAAGTGTCTCCTGCAGAAGGTGGTGTGTCTTCGTGGAGGGATTCTCGTTCCTCTTAAGTCTGACAGTTGATATCTGGTTACTCCCGTTGGTCTGCCATGATTACCCTCCACTCACATTCCACAGCCCTCATTTACTCCAATCCACACAGGAATCTTACAAAGTCAGCACTTCACACAGAACAAATACACAAGGACCAACAAGCCCAACGGATCTCCAGTCAAAAGGTGAAACTACCTTTAACTCAAAACAAAACAATTAGCATATTCATCACATCCACATTTTTAAATTTCCCTTGTCTTCTCTCCCTGGCAATAAAAAAAAAGCAACAGAGCCTCAGAGTTTAGACGACGACTTCGACTGAGGTTTGTGTCACAGCTGTTGTGCCAACCCACTTGTAAAATGCCAGCGATGCTGTAATCTACATGGAGGCATTTGTTACCTCACACCAAACAGTGAGGGGAGCAGCGGTAATGTGGTTGTTTATCCCTTCACCTCATCCGTTACCCTCCTGCTGGAAGAAATGTAGTTACATACAGCCAACTAGACACCCAGTCATCTGCTCCTATGACCACATGCTGCACCGTTCGTCTGTGACACTGCAACAGGATGTTACATTCATCGAAACCGTCCAATTGATGACATCAATAGAGAGCAGTGACTCTGGAACGTGCTGCCTTCAGCCTTGTATTTGAGAATCTTCTTGTTGCCACCCACTGCTTCATTCGTTTCAAAATGAATTTCCCATTGCTTTATTAAATTCAGCTCTCCGTCAGAGTCTGACATGAACAATGTTCCACTGTGGGGGGGTTGGCCACTGGAAGGGAAGTCCAGAAGCAAAGAGGACAGTGCAATTCATAATCAAGACACAGGGAAGGAAACGGCTCTTCTTGTGTAATTGAAAAAGAAAAGGGAAAGAATACTTTATCTCAAGCCTGTCTCATGCTGATATTGTACCTATTAGACATAGTTCATAGGGTATGTTCAGAGTGCTCACTGACATTTTTGATTTATCATAGTAATAATACACACATACTGTGTACATAATTACAGAAAGAGAAGGGGCTTCAGAAAGGGCACCTCATGTGTTGATTTAATGTGACGTGTTTAATGGATGTTGAGAGCATAATATACAAAATATGGGTGTCTATGGAACAATCCAGACATCCACAGTCATCTTTTCATTAACTACAGCTAAAGACAAAGCTTCAAGCCTGTAAAACAGAGGCGGGGAAGTTCAGCCCTCGACAGTTACTGCCTTGCTTTTTCCCCTCTATCCCTGCCCTACCCACTGTCGATCAGGTGTGTCCAATCAATCAGAAGCTGGGAGATACCATCTTAGATGAAAGTGGAATGAGGAAAGACAAAGTGAATTGGTATCTTCCAGCTTCCGACTGATTGAACACCAAGCTATCACAGTAAAAGTGCTGTACTCAACATGTTTTTCTAATCAGTGAGCTGTAAAATTATATTAAAATCTTTTAATTAACCACAATGCAGTTTTGGCCATAAAACTTTGAAATGAGTGGCTGAGACAATCTAATGTGCCTGTTTTGTGCGTGTGCATGTATCTTTCAGTGTGAGTGCAAATTAAGTTTGTATCAGATTTCTTTTCTGGGAGACTCCGAAATTGGGCCCAGTTCATTTTTGTCACGCTGGCTTTGTGTCCATCAGCACAGACAAGGATTTAGTGTAGCAACCCACTTGCTTGCAGGAAAACATGGACATACACACACACAGGAGAGCAAATGTTATGACACAGCACACAAATCTAAGATTAAAGCATACTTTGATCTATATATACCACATATATCAGATGTCTCAAACAAACACGCCATTTAAGATGACCCACACTTTAGACACATTCACAGCACATTATTTAAACAATCAAGAGCATCTTTACGTCCGATTCCATGTCAGATGACATTCTAGCCACAAAAATCATTCCTGAAGTAAAACGGTCAGGGCACATTCACACAAAACCAAAGCAACCCCCGCTAACCTCATCTATACAGGCTTGTAAGGCCCCACACACATGAAGACCACAACCCTGTTCAACCTCCCAAACCCCCAAGTCTGTATACACACATACAAACAGTAGTGGGTGACCTGCTACAGACTGCATGGGTGTGTTAACCACAGAGTGGTCTGATTCTTAAAAAGGACTGCTCAACATGAAGGCCAATAGTATTCCATAATGTGGCGTACAGCGTACATTCAATTAAGAAGGCAGAACCAACATGGCATTTTGGTCAAAATGATTTGGGGTAAGCATCATATTAAACTGTAGGTTTGAAAATACTGGAGCCTATTTTGATAGCACAGTGCCATGCCCATGCCTCATGCACATGGATGATCACAACTCTCTCAGTGTCGTATGTAAAGCAGAACGTTTAGTTGTTAGTTGTTTGCTAAATCATGTGCAACAAAGAGAAACAAAATCCTCACACTTGTGAAGCATCAATCAGCAACTGCTGGGCATTTTTGCTTTTCAAAAAAGATTTTAAATAATTATTCTACTATCAAAATATTGATAGTTTGTCTAGTTAACCAGGATAATTCTACAATATCTAACAACCCTTAATGCTAAAACCATCTACAAAGCACCTCTACACTGGTCAAAAAGCACACACAGCCAGCAGATGACTGAACAGCTAATAAATGCTAAGTTTTTAAATGACCTGGCTTTGTTTCTGTCTGGGTGGCCTGCAGACAGTAGGGCCTAGATTCAGAGTCCCAGCCAACAACCTCCATAACACCAGTAACCAAACAACTTGGGACATGCATGCAAGCAGCAGTAAAGACAAGAACCAGCAAAGAAAAAAAATAAACAAAGTGTATTTAACTCACATTTACTTGATGCAGAAGCCCATTCTCCTGTGTTTCATGGAGGCGAAGTGGTTAATTATCCAGGTAATAGCCGGGTCCCACTGCTCCTTTTTCCATCGAGCCTAATTCTAATAACCATACATACACGAAAAACAGGAAAACATTACAATTTGTTGTATAAACTGGCTTCTGTTCATTGCAGTTTCACATTGACTGTATCAATTTGTTTGATGGTTAACAGCTAAATGCGTTCATCAATGGAAGCCACCTTCACCTGGCCTCCACAGGTACACACCTGTATTACCTGGGCTGTGGGGGTGTAATACCCCTTTTCACCACACACTTTGGCTGACTGTACCAGCCCTTACACTCCAGAGGGGCGCTGTTTCACCAACTTGAGGAAATTCAATTTAAAGAGACAGACTCCTCGTCTGCTCGGTTGCAAGAAATATTATTATATCCAGAAGTGGAAGGTAACTAAGTATATTTACTCAAGTATTGTATACTTGAGGTTTTGAATAGGCAACCTGAGTACTTCTTCCACTGCGGTTTACGTTTCTTTAATTTAAAATTACGGCAATAGCTAGGTAGAACAATAAGGGAGCCTTAGTTCAGTGAGGCCACTGTGAAAGCACTACTCAGAAATAGCCTAGTAATAAAAGTACTTTATTACAAGTAAAAGTCTTGGGTAGTTACATAAAGTACAAATGTATTAGCAGAAAAATGCACTTAAACTGTCTAAATGTATTTATTTCACCCCAGTGACTGATATTTAATTTTAAAAAATACTTTAATTTATTATAATGGCGGTGGTGCTGTCAGGCCCAAGGACACTTCGACACATGAACTGTGGAGACCTGGAATCGGACCATCAACCTCCTCCCTGGGAGACGACCACTCCACCTCCTGAGCCACATCCACCCACATATCATTATATCTGACATCACTGAACCGGCTAAATCTGCTACATGAATGTATAATTAGCATTTTACTGGTGTTGCTAGTGGAGCTGTAGCTAATTTAAACTACTTGATATACAATTATATCAAGTGGTTGTCAACCTTGGGGTCGCATTCCTCCTAAATGTGAGATGATTAATGGGAAAGGAAAAAGAAGCTAATCTGTATTTATTTTTTGAACTTTCTATTATTTTATAAAACACTGAACAGTTTTATTCCTTTTCCCCTTTGGTGGAACAGTTACCAACTTATAGACATCCAAAAGATGGCAAGAGGCCCCAACTAAATTCAGCTTTTTTTATATGAGATTTAAAGTCATAAAAGGCTGGGAACCACCGCTTTAATCTTTAACAGTGTTGTATTTTAAAAGCCAATCTTTTTTTCATGTGAATAAATGTCAAATCAATGCAGTGATATAAAAATACATTATTTCCCTCTGAAGTGCAAAGCGCCATCAAATGGAGCTGCTCAAGTGCACAAACCTCAGAACTGCATTTACAGTACTTGAGCATGAATATGTGGATATGTGAAAAGAATGCTGTTATATTTTCACCAGTCAAAACTACAATAATAGCATAAATGAGCATAAATCTAGGAAAATGCTACTGCATTTCACAGGGAACACACTAAGAACTGCAGCCATGCTTTTGTGCCTGGATTTTTCATATTTTACTTATAATACTTTCAGTAAATTTTATTTCCCAACATGTCTCAAGGCTTTTCACACATTGTTACAGATGCTAGAGCTTTTATTTATTTATTATTTTCTTACTGTAAAGATTTTGAATTTGAAACATCTTATATAATACTCATGCTTTTCTTAGAAGCTGCTCATAGGCAGCTTGCATAGAGAAGAAGTCTGCAATAGTTTTAATGGAATTATCGTTGGGCAGAATCAGGGTCACCCTGTTTGAGGGAGGTCATGGTTAGAAGGTCGTTCTTCTGTCTTTCTCTCTCACACACAGAAAGCTTCAGTCTGCTTTAGTTGTAGTAGCATTAGGGATTATTATCAGGCATATGGAGAGCCATGAGTTTAAAAACATGATGTCAAAGAACAGGGTCCCACCATATGTACCTGCACCTCTACAGCGATATACCCGAAGAGGTTTGGGTATAATTTATTTTCATCATTCAACTTTTCTCAGTTTTGAGGTAAATACCAAGATACAGTCACTAATGTAAATGTGTGCACTGGGTCTAGTCACAATTAAAACAAAAAGGAAATAATATCAGTATGGATCACTGGGGAAACACTGGGAGCCACAACTATTTGCTTCCATATTAATCAGTGTGGATTTATGTTTAATACTCTTTTCAGTTATAATGCATGTCAGCTAATACCATAACAATACTGGAATGTTTCATGGTGTTTTGTTTCAGGAATTATTTGGCCACTTCACAGGCAATAAAAATGTGAATTGTGCCATTTTGGAAACAAACAAATTCAGACTTTAGTAAAGGTTTGTCAATAGAAATGTTTCAAGTGACAGAAAGAATAGGCTGCCTTTCAGTCCTGCTTCCATCCCGGAGTCAGCACTGCTAAACATGTTGCTTTCTTTTATTTTCAAAATAAATTTCAAGGATTTTAAGTGTCGTTGAACAGAGCGGAGGGTGGGGGTTGGCTGCCGTGTAAAGTGGGTCTTGTAGGTCTTCTAGGCAGCGTGTGTGGGTAAAGCAGGCTTACAGTAGTAATCCTCTTCACAGACATCCATCCTACTAGCAAGAGGACAAGGCCCAGACAGACACACACAAATGCACGCACACACACAGACACATACACACACACACACACACAGAAAGAAATTGTTAGAAGGAAATCTGTTTTGTCTTGTTTTTATAAAAACAGTACGTCATTAATAGGCCATCATGTCTAATTGCAGTCCAGTCTTTTGATATCTAAGATGTTCATTTCCTCAGGTGGGGCACCAAATTCTTCATTCAATATGTTACATTCCTTTCTTTTATCAGCCATTTAAATGAGCTTCCTCCAGGAAGCCTGTCCCTCTGTTGACTTTACTTTAGCCTGAAATTTGTCATTACTGCTTCCTGACTGTGATGTCATTAGGGAGGACAGAGACGGGCTGACGGACAGAGAGGAAGAGGGGACATTTATCCCAAAATAAATCATGACAAACAGATAATCTTAAAAGACATAATGAGCCTGTAAGAGCCGGGACAGTGTGTTATGACTCTGTCACAGCCTGACTCATGATGTCTCACAGGGAAATGGTTTTACGACCCACAGTATCACTTAAATATTCCATTTGGATTATGCATCACACACACACACACACACACACACACACACACACACACATATATGTAAAAAGCAGCAACTACCCAAAGATATAACAGACTGGACAAAAATGTTATTTGGTTTTTTTTATTTTGGCATTTCTTTGTTTTGCATTTATATTAAGCAAAGTGCATCGTATTTTCTTTTTCTCATCAACACATTGCACAATACATAAATAATGATGCATATAAAACGTCTTCATATTTACAATTAATAATATATCTATATATAACAAATACATTTTTCGCTTCTTATTTAATTAAATCTTAGTCATTTATTAAACAAAGTCCGTCAGAATTTTATACTTTCTTCTTTTAAAACTCTTTTCTCTGTTTGAATCTCTGGAACAAAGAAGGAAAGTAGGTGTAGTCTGCGTGTGAGGGGGCAGAAGAGGTGAGGAGGAAGAGGAAGAGGAAGGCTGCTGCTATCGGGTGTTGAAGATGACTTCCAACCAGCACGGGCAGCTGCTGATGAACTGTCTGGTGTAGCACTGTCCCCAGCCTTTCACAAAACTTATCTGCACCGTGAATCCTGTGCGAGGCTGCTGCGTGAACTCGTGATCGTTCGGCCTCTGCAGGGTGCCGGCTTTGTCATAGTCAAAAGCTTTAATAGAAAAACCGGGGAACACCTTGTGCACTAGCAGCGTGCGTGAGTCCGGGTTGTCCAGTGTGGCCGACTTAATAAAGATGGGGTAGCAGCTGCGATTGTAGACCCACACCCCGTCTGGCTCACGCGTCAGCTGGATGCCATAGCCGATCTTGGCCCGCACCATCTGCACTAGCTGGGACTTGTTGTCGGAGCAGAGCTGGCCCAGGCAGAAGCCGTTCCCCTGAGGTAGATCATAGAAGATGTCCAGAGAGGGTTCCTGGACTGAGTAGAGGCGCCCGACACGTGTCTTCTCCTCCCAGTATGCCACCACGCACCAATGGGCCCGTTCACCAGACTCCTGCAACGCCAGGGAATCTAAAGAAGCAGACAGAAAGAGGAGATGGTTAGAGCTGAGGAAAAGTGCAGAGAAACGACTTAATGACAATGTAACATTAGACAATAAATAACACAGGCCCAGAAATAACAAGAAAGAGAGAAGAGGAAGAAAAGATGAGTGTACGAGTTTGTGGTGATGGACTTCTAATCACTAACATCTTTCTAATAAAAAGCAAAAGCTAAACCAAACTACTTAAACATTGCCACTTCTCCACAACTTATTCCTTATCCCTGTTTTGGGAAATAGAGAATTTGCTTTAGTCGAGTGCCAAAACTAAACTGTCATCCTTCATTTCTGCCATGCAGGAAAACCACAGTGGAATTCCTGGACTTCAGACAAGAGAAGCAACAGCGACACTGGCAGGCAAGTGTCCACATGCAGTACGATATTTGTCTAGGCATTAAATGCTTATCTTCTGTCTGGATCGCCTTGGCCAGTAATGTCCTGACGTCAACTGACTGTCCTGATCATCTCACTACAGCGATATGCGTCGCCCTGCTGGAAGAAATTAGAAACTATCTTTGAATTCATGTTTTACAAAAACAAGGCAGCAGTAACTGAGCAACAGCAACAAGATGAGGGACTTTCTCATAAACACATAGCGCTTAGCTGACGAACAAGGCAGGCCGTTAATGCCCAAACCCTGGTGTCTGAATCGTTGACAAGGCAGGCCTCTCTAGTCTACAGTTTCCCCTGAGCGTAAAAGTGTAGCATTGGCCGTGCTCCAATTTCCAAACTCCCCCACCTCCTCCCTCTCCCGTCTCCCTTTAGAGTGCCTCCTGCGCCATCCCTCTCCCCCTTCATATCTTTATTCCACAGAAATGTGGCTCCCAGCTACTCCCTGCTAGAAAAGTGGGAGCCAGTCAGGCGCAAGGGAAATAAAGGGAGACAGAGAGAGAGAGTGCTAGAGGAAAGAAAGAGGGGGTAAGCAAGAGAAGGAATGCTTTTCACATAGTTTAACTGTTACTTTTGCAACTTTGCTTCCCCTCCTGTTTTTTAAGCATCTCTTGTGCTTTTAAGGTCATCCCCTAATTGCTGCAACCTCTATCAACAGCTCAACAATCCGTCATAATTCCTCTCTTCTCTCTCACACACATATATACACAAACACTTCAATCAAGCCTCGATGAAAGACACATTTAAAGGTTGAGAAAGCTTGACGAGAGGAAATAGTATATGTGAGGGAAAAAAATGAACAGAGCTCCTCTTAGAGCCATTTCAGTTGCCATCCAACCACAGCCTACCCCCCTCCTCGTTTCAGCCTGTGGTAGCTGTGAATGTAACTGGTAATTTGGAAGGTCCTGTTTGAGGCAAACTGCAACATTAATGTGGCAGGATCTCTGCCGGCCTGTGTGGACGCACCACAGCCTATCATTAGCCTTCATTAGACACAAGGAGAAGGAGGGAGAGAAAGACAACAGTGGGAGAAGTGATCCATAAAACTAGAGAAGCTGTGTTCTTTGAAGTTGGTCAGACGTGAGCCTCAGGGAGTTTATCATAAATCTGTGCTCATGGGGTGCTGGGGGAACCTAAGTACCCTATCTACTTAGACTAAACGGAGGGGGGAAGCATTTATCTTTGAGATAAGAGACAGAAAGCGTCTTTTGTATCTCAGGCTGATGTCAGGTGGTGTCTCGGATACTTGCCGGGGCTTTGCTCCCTGTTCTGTTTTACATGTATGTACAGGAACAGCCAGGATTGATAAGGAGAAGGACACATTGGACTTTTTCAACAGTTGACAGAGGGCCTGCTGGTGGAGTTCACCTGTGGGGCCATGTGTGTGTGTGTGTGTGTGTGTGTGTGTGTGTGTTTGTTATTGCTGAGAGAGACAGGGCCTGGCGTCAGAGGTCATTAGAGCGGCTGCCTGTCTGAGCCTGTCATTGCAGCTTGAAAACACCCTGCTATTCAGGACTACACTAACTGCCCCGCTCCCCCTCCCTCATCGCCTCTCCTCTCAGAAACTCAGGAGTGGTAGTAAGTGAGAACCACAGAGGAGAAGAAAGAGAGGGAAGAATGAAAGCAAAGTGCTAAAGAGAGACAGAAAAACAACAGGAAAATATGATGAGGGGTCAGCTGGTAAGGCAGTGGTATAAGTATTCAGATCTCTATGTAAGAATCATAACACCACAGTGTACAATTGCTGCAGTATAAGTCTCAGCCTTCCTCCAAAGCTACAGAGGACCCTTTACCACGTATGCAGCTTTTCTGTTGTACAGGTAAACCAAACCCCAACTTTTTCTGTTCAGTGTCTCAGCAGACAGAAAGTGAGACAGAGACACTCCTCCATCTGTGGGGCACAGCCTTGTGAACACTATGTTCACAGCTTGTCCTGACAACAGATGAGCTTACACCTCATGAGTAATGCTGCTGAACACAGAACCCCACACATATAAATACACAAGCTAATGTGAGCGGCCACCTTGTTCCAAGTGCGTGGATGATTTTTACTGAATTTTTAACACATCGAGTGTGTGTGTGTGTGTGTGTGTGTGTGTGTGTGTGAGGTGTCTGTTTGTCAGGCTCTTCATGTTACACTCTTGATGCTATTTCAGGTGTTTCTCGCATAGGTGAATGTGTGTTTGTAAGACGCTGTTGTCAGAGTGTCTGTGCCAAGTCCATCTGTCCTTGGGGTGCCGTGTTTCCATCAGCTCCAGCTCCTGAACACATCCAGAGCTGTCTGTACATCTGTCAGTCAGTCTGTCTGTCTGCTTCCTGGACGTCTGCCTATCTGTCTGCTGTCCCACCTGCTTGTCTGCTCTGTGGCCTTTCAGCCCGCATGTCTCGGGCTACTTCTCTCTGGAGATTAGCTGGCTAGCTGGCAGCCTGAGGCCATCTGTCACCCCGGCCCTTTCTGCTCTGCTCCTGTCAGTGGTCTGCTGCTGCTCTGTCCCGCTCTGATTAGTCCCACAAAAAAAAGAATTTCCTTGCTAGTGACGTTAGCTAAAATGCTGCAGAAAGATACTGGAGCAGATTGGTTTTGAGTGTGACTGTGGATGATAATGACAACAGGCTTTGTTAAAAGCATTTCTTGCAATGTAAGAAACTGCAAGATGCTGATGAGAGGTAACGTGGATGTTATCTATTAGCATCACTGTGCAAACAAAAACAGCATACTGCTCCCATGTTGGGTGGTATGGTGGAGCAGTGGTTAGCACTGTTGCCTTAGAGCAGGGAGGTTCCGGGTTTGAGCCCGGGCTGACCCAGTGCCTTTCTGTACAGAGTTTGCATGTTCTCTCTATGCCTGTGTGGGTTGTACTCCAGCTTCCTCCAACAGTCCAAAGACATGCAGTTTAGGCTGACTGGCCACTATAAATTGCCTGTAGGAGTGAGTGTGTGCGTTTGTCTACATGTCAGCCCTGTGAACGACTGGTGACCTGTCCAGGGTGGACCCCAGCTCCTGCTTAATGTCAGCTGGGACTGGCACCAGCTCCCCCATGACCCTCTTCAGGATAAGTGGTATAGATAATGGATGGATGCTCCCATGATTTAATGGATGCTCTTCAAAGACATATTGTAAATATGTGTGCAAAATATTTAAACCATAGCACAAGGAGGGCAAGATTGGCACATAGACACATATACACTGCTAGCTCCCCCAGGGATTTTAATGGTTCACAGTCCTTAAGAGTTGATGCCACACTAGTTGAGACAAATGGACTTAGTCAAAGGGTGAAGGGAAGGCTGAAAGGGGGGAGGGGGGACGCCAAACTGGGTGCTTCTCTCAGAGCCAGAAACAAAGTCTGGAAAGGTTAATCATTACCTCTGTCTGACTCCACACACACACACACACACACACACACACACACATACAGCAGGTCACTTTCTATTCTAAGAAGTCAACACAGTCAGAGTAACACGTCTGCAACCTCACACACACAACTTTCAACCAGTTTTGGACACAACACTCTCACTATCTGTAAATAGCGAGGAAGCTCCTGAGAACTGTCTCATATCGATCCTTCAGAGCTCTAGTGTGTGTGTGTGTGTGTGTCTTGGCTCAGATTTGTAATGATACTTTTGTCATCAGACACACACGGGCTGTTCACTCTGCCATGCCATGTTCAGCCCTATGGATGTGTGTTTCCTGTCTGTTATGAAGGCCTGTGCACTTCTCGCTTGGTGTTCACAAAAAACACTTGGTCTCATTGATTTTTTTTTAGTTAATACAAGTTAGAACCTTCAATCTCAGGCTTGTTGTCTGCTCTCTTTCTTTGGCAGCAAGAAATTCAATGAGAGGCAACTCTGTCAGAAAGAGAAAGGTCAGCTGATCTGCACAGTGAAGACAGAGGGGTGTCCTAGTCTCACATCAATACAGCACCACAGACTTATAAAGACAATCCAGACTGTGTACAAACTGTTGAAAGGTAGCCGACTGCACTGTTCTAACACTGTCAGACTCGCAATGCAGCAGAACCGGAGGTCTCATCATTTTCAAACATTCTTTATCTTTGTCAAAATCTGTTCTCACTCCTCTTTAATAATAACCACGAGCAAACGTTGCCATTTTCCATTGTCTACGAAGCAGTAAAATTGATTATAAAGTGTTCTAGGTGGGCCAGGTTTACATTATTAAAGTACATACTTTGCAAAGGATCTACTATGAAGCAGAAGTGACATGTTATTCAGACAGACAGATACAGTGGGTACAGAAAGTATTCAGACCCCCTTAAATTTTTCACTCTTTGTTATATTGCAGCCATATGCTAAAATCATTTAAGTTCATTTTTTTTCCTCATTAATGTACACACAGCACCCCATATTGACAGAAAAACACAGAATTTGACATTTTTGCAGATTTATTAAAAAAGAAAAACTGAAATATCACATGGTCATAAGTATTCAGACCCTTTGCTGTGACACTCATATATTTAACTTAGGTGCTGTCCATTTCTTCTGATCATCCCTCAGATGGTTCTACACCTTCATTTGAGTCCAGCTGTGTTTGATTATACTGATTGGACGTGATTAGGAAAAGCCA